TGCTGCTTCAGAACCACGTGTGGCTGCAACACTGGGTTATCGCCATCCCCCATGGCTCCGATCAACTGGGGATGAGTCTGCCCAGCTGCCCAGCAGGCCAGACCTGGCGTGTCTCATGCTCCAGGTCGTGTTGCTACCAAGACCTCGTGCGGCAACCAAGGCCCTGGCATGTGTGACCGACTGGATGGGTGCTAACATGTGCTTACCAGGGCCACCGTGTCTGAGATGCTGTCACTCTGCTGCTTGGCTCCCAAGGACCGTGTCTTCTCAGGCACATCAGCCTGGAGTGGAGACAGGAGTCAAGCTGTGCTGGAACAAGTGCTGAGATCGCCTCACTTTAGGCAGGACGAGCCCAGGGGAGACTGGGCGGGAAATGCCTAGACTACAGGCTGCAGGCTGTCCCAGGACAGTTCTCTATTCTTGGACCTGATCCCAGGCGCTAAACCAAAGGCACACCCACTAACATTTATCCTTCACATCCCTGAAACTCACAGAGAGGAGGGTCCCCTAGGACAGGGGTGGTGAACCTGGCACATGTGCTATAACCATTGTTTGATATCATTGAGAGCTCTAAAAAGGTATGTATCACTGTCTAGGTCACCTGCCACGGTACTCACTGGGCTTGGAGGCTCCTTGTGGCTCCGGGCACTGTGGATGCTCCCGATCTCTGTCTGTGAGCTGGAGTGTGACAGGCCCTCAAAGTACGGCCTGGCTTGGAGAAAAGGATGGGCATTACTTTCTAAGACATCCCACACTGAAAGTGAGGCCCCATCACCCACACAGGGGCTGGAGAGTTGGCAGGGAGCCCAGGGGCAGAGAAAGCTGCACAGAGGAACGGGCATCTTAAAGAACTGTGTGAGTGCATGTCCGCCCTGGGGAACAGGGCACAAGATCACAGCATTCAAATGTAACTGGGCATCCAGTTGGCTTGGCTCCCCAGTCTGCCATGAAACCACAGTTAAACCACATGAAACCTTTTCTCCAAGCCAGGCCGTGTCCACATACTCCATCGTTTGCAGTCTTGACCTAGGACAGGGCTTTCAGCAACACAGGAAAGTTCAGTGACAGCCCAATCCCAACAATTCTGTGGGACGGTCCCCACCCAAGTCAGGAACCTTGGGATCACAACCAACTAGTAGGAAACATTCTCAACAGCACAAGAAAGTCTCCATCACCACATCCAGAATTCAGGCCAACCAGACAGACCAGGCTGATCTAGACCAAACCAGACCCACCTGATCCTTCTAGATTAATTCAGATCCATCTGACCCTTTTAGAAACACCATATTATTCTAGACTAATCCAGATCTACCAGATCATTCTGGGTTAATCCAGACCATTCTCTGAAAATCCAGTCACTAGATCATTTTAGACTAATCCACACTGATCATGTCAATCCAGACCAAAAAGACCAAACATGTTTATTCTTGGCAGATAAAGTAGGCTGCAAATGAAAAAGGACTTTTTTTTTTTTTTTTGCTCCTGAATGCCTTCAGGGCACTTTTGGATGGCTGGAGTGTTGTGGGGATCGGACTACAGCAACCTGAGGCTGCCAGCATTGTGGAAGCAGCCACTTAAAGGACTGAGCTAGGGCTGGGCCCCCTGCAAATGAAAAAGAAGGAAAAGACATACTCAAGAGATGTAAAATATACTTTAAGCAGCTGCTACATCCCCTGGATCATGAAGAACCCTGGGGATGTGTGATGTTCTGGGTATGACCATCCAGGAACACAGTGCTGAGTTGCCCACGCTTTATCCCAGAATCATGGCCACTAGCTGGCCAGAGACTGCCAGCACTTACTGAGATTGCGACAGGTGAAGCCCTGTTGTTATCCTAGGACCACCACGAGCGGAGAACTCATTCAGGCTGAGGGCAGGGAGTTGAAATAGGAAGGGCCAGACTCTACATATGAGGGGCTGGCCAGAGAAGAGGCAGAAGCCAAGAAGGACGCTGGACTTTCACCCTGAGGAGTTAGAGCTGAATCCCACCATGACCTCACTAGGCCTGGAGGGCATCCCTGAGTCTGCGAAGGACAGTGGTGAGCACTTCAACCCACGTCCAGCGGGACACAGACAAGGCTGACTGCAGGACGTTTCTCCCCAGGACAGGCACAGCAATGGTCACCTCAAGATACCACGGTTTCGTCACTTGTGGTAGCAGCTAGGGCACTGACAGACCATCACATGGAGCGGCGCCATAGGCACGGAGGGGCTGCAGGGGGCCAGGGCCAACTGCGACCTGCCTCTTGTGAGGCAGGAAGCCTACTCTTCTTCTTTTACTCCTCCCTCCTTCCTTCCTTCCCTCCTTCCTTCCTTCCTTCCTTCCTTCCTTCCTTCCTTCCTTCCTTCCTTCCTCCTTCCTCCTTCCCACTCTCCCTCCCTCCCTCCCCTCCTCCTTTCCTTTTTCTTTTCTCTCTTTAAGTTTTGCTGTGCTGGGAATGAAACCCAGTGCCTGATGCAAGCAACACGTGTTCTGCCACTGAGCTGCAGCTCAAGCCCAAAGCCTACCCTTCCTATGTGTGCTACTCAGTATCATTCAGGTTAAAAAGCTTAAAAATGGGCCAGGCATGGTGGCACAGGCCTGTAATCCCAGCACTTGGGAGGCTAAGGCAGGAGGACTGTTGTGAGGTGGAGACCAGCCTAGGCTACAAAGTGAGCTCAAGGCCAGCCTGATCTTATAAACAAAGATCCACAAGCCTTCCTGACTACTATTGAGGCCGCCCCATCCTCAGCAGCCACAGAGCCCACATGTTGTGTCCCAGGATCTGTGCCTACCCTGCCACAGACCAGAGCCAAATCCATGTATGGACCGTGCCCACTTCTCCAGCTGAGGATGGGCTCTGCGAGCTGTACCCCCAGCCACAGGAAGGCACTGAATGGGCGCAGCAGGAGGCCCTTTGTAGCTCCCAGGGTCCCTATTCCCCTCCTGTAATGGGATGCCATGTCTAGGAGACCCCTCAGTCCTCCATGCCTGCCATACCCTACCTGTCCATTCCTCAAGCTCTTGCCTTCCAGAGCGTTCCAGGCCAGTCCGCTGCATCTGTATTTACTTCCCATACTCCACCTGTGTCTTGGCCTAGTGGACCCCCGAGGCAGGCCCAGGGGTCTCATCACTACTCCTGCCCTGAGAACCATGCTGCCTTTGGAAGCTGCCCTCCTCAGCGAGCTACCTCCCGCCTGCTCTCCCATGAAGGGAAAGCTCCCTGCCTTAATCTCTGAGCAACCTGGGACTGACCAGCATGTCTCCTCCCCCCAAGCTGTATTCTGGGAACTTCTGTGCCAGGTCAGGCCAGGTCTGCTGACGTATGGGTAGAAGGGCATTCCTGGGGCCGCACAGAGCACCCCCGTCAGGATACAGCAGCAGTGTCTTGTCTGGGCCGGATGCACTCACCTGAGCTTGGGTTTGGGGGTGCTGAGGACGCTGTCATCATCTTCCATGTCAGGCCCACTGTCACTGGGGTTCTCCATGTCCAGCGTGTCATAGAGAAGGTCCAGGTCCTCCTCCGCCTCAGGGACATGTTCTGTGGGGTCCTGTTCTGAGTCCAGGACCTGAAGCAATGTCAGACAACATGTAAGGGGGCCCTCTGGAGGAGTGGGCACAGCAAGTCCATACGTGGGTTTGGCTACCTTGGAAGGTGGCCTGTGCTCCCCACATGCCACCTTACGAAGGAGGGACACAGGAAAAGATGGCTACCCAGAACCACTAAGTACCCGGCACATCTCATTTTAATTACTACCTATCCCAATTTAGGAATGAGGCGCTGGGCACAAAGTGTGTGGGCTCTTAACCTAGTGAGGTCCTCTCCTCCACACCTTGCCATGAGCTGTGCTGCCTCCGGGACCAGACTTCAAGGTGCCTGGCAGCTGTGCCCCTCTTGCACCAGAACTCAAAATGCTGCTCTCCCAAGACCTCCTGACCTACAAGCTCAACTCCGGCCCTCAAGCACAGATCTGGGTCCTCCTGGGTCTGGTTTTCTCCAGCTCACCCTGCTCCTTTCTGAACAGGACCCAGGCCTGGTTCAGGAGCCACCAGCTGATGGCTGTTCCCCGTGTGAGCAGAAGTTAGTACCTACACCAGTCTGAGTGTAGGTGCTGATACAACACGCTTTGAGGATGCAGTCTTATCTCCACCGCGGGCACGGAACTGCTGGTGTCCCTCCACAGCATATGCCCACCCTGCTTACCCTCGCTGACACTGCCTACCACACATCCACATATGAGCCCCTTGAGATCACAGCCGTCCTAGAGAAGATCATGACTACCCTTCTCTAGAATCCTGGCCCATTCTCTAATTGGACTTTTTTTCTTTTTCTTTTTAGGGACTGGACCCAGGGCACCCTGCCACTGAGTTGCATCCCTAGCATGTTTTATTTATTTTAGTTTTGATGCCGAGGACCAAACCCAGGGCTTCCAGCTTGCTAGGCAAGCATTCTACCACTAAGCCAAATCCCCAGCCCCTTATTTATTTGGTGGAAGGTCTCCCTACAGACCTCAGACTCCTAGTGATATTCTTGTCTCATCCTCTCCAGCACTGGGGTTACAGGCATGCACCACCACATCCAGTTTCAGTGGCCAGCATGCTGTGCCTGGGGTTGTAGGTTCAGCACAGTATGTGGTACCAGGGATTAAACCTGGGTCCTTGTGCTTGCAAGGCAGGCACTTAGACCACCGAGCTGTCTCTCCAGCCCCACATTCTGTTTTTGAGACAGCATCTTGCTTCTAACCCAGGCTGACTTCAGACTCACAATTCTTCTACCTCTGCCTCCAGAGAGCTGGGATTACAGGCATGAGCTCCCACACCTGGCCAATTCACTGTTTTCATCAAATGCTCATGTATTGAAACAGCTGACTTAGGTACTTAGTGGTGACTTCTACCCCCCTCTCAGTTCAGTGTTGAGGGCAGAATCTGAGCAGCTGTGGGAAGACGTAGGTCAATGTGCTACTATAATTCTCGGCGGCTCTGACATATAACCTGGGTTTCCCTTCGGGATCCTCTGTGCCTACGGTCAAGTCTGCAGGTACCCCTTCTGGGGTTTCCCTTGGAGCTGGCAAGGGTAACTCTAATGTGGTCAACTGCCACCACTGGGCCCAAGGGTATCCATTTCTCTAGTACCTCTAAAGCCATAGCTGTCGCCAGCTTCCTGACTTGCTCCTGGGTGAGCATGCATTGTAGTGAGTCAGGAGCAGTGGACCAAAGCTCTACAGAATCTGTGACTGTGTAGTTCTCAGAAAGATGGGGAATCCCTTATTTATTTTTGTACTTAGTACAGGGCCTAATTACACAGATTGGACTCATAGTGATTCTCCTGTTTTCAGCCTCCCAACCACTGGGATTACAGGAGCATCCAGTCTCAGTTGCCATCTCAACGCGCCCTTGGGGCTGGGCCAACACAGCATGCCAGGGATTGAATCCCTGGCCCCCGAGTCTGCCTAAGCAGGCACTTTAATCCGCTGAGCTATTTGGCTGGCCTGGGGAATCCATTTTTAAATGAGTTGTCTCTGAGTTATAACGTTTCTTGTATATTCTACACACATCCTTTCATGAGCATATAACTTGTAAAAAATGCTCTATGGGCTGTCATTTCATTTTCTTGGTATTGTCTGAAGCACAAAAGTTTTAAATGTTGCCCATTGCAACTTACGTATTTTTACTTTGTCACCTGTGCTTTTGGTGTCAAATATAAGAAACTACAGCCTAGTCCAGGGTCATTAATGTTTACCTGCTGTTTTCTAGGTGTTCTATAGTAGTAGCTCACCCACATGGGGCTCTGACCCATGGCAGCACTTTTTTTATTATGGTATGAAGAAGGGGTCAACTTGATATGGTGTGAGAAAGGGGTCAGCTTCGTTCTTGTGCCTATGGATGTCCTGTTCTCCCAGGAGCATTTGTTGAAAAGACTGTTCTTTCCTCATGGAGTAGTCTTGACATCCCTGCTAAAAATCAGTTGGCGTGAGCAGAGATTTGCTTCTAGATGCTGAGTGCCGTTTCCAGTTTCCACCGATCTCCACATTCATCCCTGTTCCAGCACCACAGTTTTCATCACTATGGCTTTGTAGTAAGTTTTGCCATTAGATTTTTTGTCTTTTTGGAGACAGCATCTTGCTTTGTAGGTCACGCTGGCCTTGAACTCATTATATAGTCCAAGCTGGCCTCGAACTCATGAATACCCCTGCCTCTGCCTCTTGAGTGCTGAGATTTCTGACATGCACCACCATGCCTGGCTAAGGTTTGCCAATGGAAAATGTGAATCTTCCAGTTTTGTCCTTTTCACAGCTATTTTGGCTATGAGTCCCTTACATACTATGTTTCCCAAAATATAAAACCTAACTGAGGGGCTGGTGAGATGGCTCAGTGGTCTAAAGCACCTACTTAGAACAAGCTAAGCAAAAGCACAGGGACCACAGTTCAATCCCCAGCACCACATGCCAGCCAGCCCCGCCCCCTGGTGGGCTGAACTGGCCACAAACACACACACACACACACAAAAATAAATAAATAAATAAATAAATAAATAAATAAAAATAAAATTAAAAAAAAAAACCTAACTGAAAAAAAGTCAGCCCAAACCAACCTATTCATCCCTTCCCTGCCAATACAGATTAGCTACCTAGCAAGAGAACAGTGGGTTCAATCTTTTGCATGACACTGCCCATCACCATGGTAATAACCTGCCAGATCTGGTTCCAGTTAGGTCTTATTTTGGAGAAAATATGGTATTGATTTTAGGATCAGCTAGTGGATTTTTATAAAAAGGCAGCTGGGGATGGGATAGGGATTTGTGTAGATCTGTAGGTCAACTTGGAGGTATATATATGTATATACGCATACAGTTATGTACATACACATTTCTAGACAAGTGCTCTACCACTAAGTTGCGTCCCAGGTCTGTTCATATATTCTTTTTTTTTTTTTTTTTGTGGGGGGGGGGCAGCTCAGCCCACCAGGGGGCGGGCTGGCTGGCATGTGGTGTTGGGGGATTGAACCGTGGTCCCTTTGCTTTGCTAAGCTTGTTCTAAGTAGGTGTTTTAGACCACTGAGCCATCTCACCAGCCCTGTTCATATATTCTTTAGTTTCCACAGTGTTTTTCAGTTTCACTGCATGAGTTTTGTGCATTTTAAAATTGCTTTGTTTTTTGTATTGGGGTCTAACAACTCTTTATGGGTCTGGGGCACCCAAAGCAGTAGAACCACAGTCTCCAGCCTGCACTGCCAGCCTGTGAAAGTCTTGTGACACCGAGGTCTTGAGGGTCCAACTCCCTCCAGTCCAATGTGTACGGAAGGTATAGCACAGAGTCAAAGATGTTTCTTTAGCTGTAAGATCCAGTGTTTGCCTAATTTGGCTTGGGACTTACTTAAGTTCCTTCCTTCCTTTCTACTTCTTTTCAAAATGGGACTATTTAGCCTATGTTGTTCTCATATTCATATATA